CAAGTGATAACCCAAGTTTCATCCTGTATACGACAACTTGAATTGGTTTCTCTGAATGCTATGTTCTGAACTTTGTTTTGATGTTATTTCTTTATTTTCTCGAGCAGGTCATGGGCTGTTGTTATTAATAGAACGTCTTTGGGTTCGGAAAGACGGTGGTGGCTGGTAGCGCGAAGTAGCAATGATGGCTTGAAGATTTTGTGGGAGAGCTGCACTGCTGCTTGTTTTCCCCTGGTATGTGACTTTGAAGACTTGATACTATAGTGCTTTTTCTTTTCATAATCTTCTGATACGATTATACTTCTGTGTGGATTTCTTGAGGGGACACCGAGTTAACAATGGAGGCAAAGAACAATAGTCAATGACGGTGATGACGATCTTGCAACTGATCTAGCGGGACTAACAGGACATGAGAAACCATGACTGATGCATCTCTTTCCAGCGGGTGAGTACTTACTCATTAGTAGTTAATATTGACATGAAGCATACTATCACAAACATCTTTTTACATGTTCTTCCATTTTCTTCTTGCAGGAACTCTGGTTTAGATTCGGTCGCAAATGTGGAGAGTTTATAACATGTGCAAGCAAGTTCCCTCTTAGGCTCAAACAGACTGCTCAGACATCAGTCGTGACTGTCTTATCATCAAAACCAATTTCGTCTATATCATATAAAAAGCACGGTGACAGCAACTAGGAAAGTTCTAGCAGTTCTATTGCAAATGCAAGCTTTGAAGAAGTTGGGGCTGATAAACAAGGAGATTGGGAATGATGGGTGAAAGCAGAGTTTTGACTTGAGGTAGTATGTTGCTAAAACACCATTGGCTTAACACTTATTTTTTTGTTTCATCCTAAATCACCTGAGATTGTTTTAACAGTTGTTGCTTCCTGACTGATGTGGCTGTTGGCTTATCAGGAGAGAAATGACTTGTTTAAAGAAGGCCTAAAGGTTTCAGGATCAGCATCTGTCGTGATATTCAGGGTATCGCTCTCAAGCATCACATCGGGGTTCGCATCTGTAAGTACCTGTACCATTCGATTCCTTCTCTTGCAATGCCTTTATTATCACTTATGTTGACTGACTTGGTATTTGCAATTGTCCTGCAGTGATTCAATTGATTATGAGTCCACATTAGAACCCGACATAATCATGGACGGGGTGTTCTGACCAGCAGACACGCCTTCACGCTGCTTCCAGTTTCCATGATTACCATTTGGTGGTGGATAAGAAGGTGAATTGCCAAGAGCCTGTGGTGTTCCCTCAGCTTGACTTAAGCTATTAGGATATTGACCGTGTCAATGTGAAGAAAACGTTTCTTGGTTTTATGGACTTCCAGAATGCTCCACAGTCTTCTCTTCTATCAAACTGGCTGGCTGCAGCTGATACTAACGGGTATGATGCGTGAGACTTCGTTTTAATCATCACTCTTCTTTGACTGACATGTACTTACTGTTTGTAGATGGGGATAACACTTGGCGGTTCAAAAAGTCTCTTGGGGTTAGAATAGTATTATCGGATTATGACCGGCATCCATCTGTTTTGTAAGTCTCTCCCTTGATTACTCTGTAGCACCATTATTACTGTTTGTACTTAAATTCAGTAGCATTTGCATGAATTATGATTTGTATGCCCTGTAAATCGAAGTTTCAATTTGCAACGCCTTGTACTTGTAAAAGCTTATGTAAAAATTCTGGAGTTGGTATCATAACAGCAAATATTGCTTGCCGTCGTTTGTTTTGACAGGTTAACTACATCTATCTTGCAGTGGGTCTCGGTTTTCTGGGGTACACGAAATGGTGGAAGCTGTGAGGCAACTGAAACCTGAGCGAACACAAGTATCTGATACATCCCTTCCACTCCTGAACTCCAACAATCACTCTAATTGTCGCAACATGAAGTCAACCTGGGATATCTAGTTTTTAAGAAACCATTGACTACTACTTCCCCCCCTAAACTCCAAGTAAATGTTGTATTCTGACTTGCAAGAAACGTAATGAAAACAAAACCAAACAGAGCTATTGGGTTGTGCAACATCTGTTTCGTTGATGACAGTGCATCTTGAAAAGTAAGCAAAACAAAACCTGTACTGCAGAACTCGTTTACTGATGTGGTCATTAGCAAATTATTTACCGAATAAAGGCCGCTGAAGATACATAAGATGGCCAGAGAAATGGTTACGACACAATGCGTCCTTAGAAATGTTTTTCGGTCCCAGATGTTACTCAGCAACTTTATTAATGTCTTGAACTAAAATTTTGTCATAAGGAATGTATTTGCTTTGTACGTTGAATGAACTCTATAATTATAGTGTAGTGTTAGACCGAAATAAATGTTCCTTCTGTTCATTCTCTATCGCCGCTCTTCATCATGGCTAATTTTGTTTGTGAAATAGTGACTTGAATCATGTCCTAAAAGAAATCCTTGAGGACCCTCTTATTTTGGTAACTTGAGCAATTGTTAATGAATGACCCTTCGCTCATAAAATTTTGTCTGGATATTTCCAATTAATTTGAATAATCTTGAATTGGATTAAAGAAATGACGTTGGCTCTTCCAATCTTGAATGTTTTAACGGTACAAAACTCATGGACTTTGTAACTTGGTCACAAAACTCTTGAATCTTTGGATTGAATCTGATAGGTCCATTCATATGCAAAATCCTATTAAATTGAGCTTGAATTCCTGAGTAGTGAACTTCTGAGCTTGAAAATATTAGTCACGTCCCCGTGATGTTTGGCTATAAAAATCTGTATTCTGGCCCTAGGTCAAAAATTAGGGGTGCAACATATGTGACCCTTGTGAATCTTCTTAGAACACAAAGTCTTGTATTGTGAGGGCAAATTTTGGGGTATTACACATGGGCATTGGGCTTGACTACGGAAGCGCCGTTGACAGTGGACCTCCCGACTATTGGGGTCAAATGATGCAAAATCTATTTGATACGCCGGGGCCATCCCAACCATACCCTCCTCCACAACTCAACACACAGAGACCGGACACACCACAACAACCTCGTCGTAGACTTCGTCGCAACGCGCATCCCCCGCAATGTGGCACCGGTGGTCACTTGGATAGAGTCGGGCATTAGTTTTTTTTCTTTTGTTCAATTGTAATTGTAATTGTAATTTTCATTAATATAATTTCATATTTTTTAAGGTTATTTAAATTTCAATTAATTATAAAAAACTTAAACTATAATTTAATAAAAAATATTTATTAATACATAATTAAAATATTTATTAATATTTATAAATTTAATAACAAACTTAATGTATTAAAATATTTACATAAAATATAAAAAAATAATTAAAATGTAATAAAAATTAAAAAAATAATGTAATAAAGTCATTTAAAATATTATTTAAAATTAAAATGATGATAATATAAATTAAAACATTAACCAAAAAAAAAGCTGGAAAGCAAAACCCTAGAAATCTTAGAACTAAGTCGTCATTTCGTCTGGCGAATAAGCTTCTTTTTCACTGCGACGTCAAAGCAATTGGCGAATTTGTTTATGACCAAAATCATCTTGCAAATAAGTCGTCATTTCAAATGGCGACTGTCTGTTGAATATTTGCCATTTTCGTCATTTTTTTGAAACTTTAGTTTTTCTGATAAATTTTATTCAATACTTGGTTATTTTAAAAAAAAATCTCAATTATTCTACTAACTATAGTTAATAAATATATTATAGTAAATAATATTTTATTTTTAAAATCACGATATCTAATACCTTCATTTAAATTATATGACGTTTTGAGCATTTCATACGGTTTAAAAAATACAATTATTATATGACGTTTTGAGCATTTCACACCGTTTAAAAAAAATACAATTATTACTTTATAAAAAATTGAAATAATCTATAACTTTACAAAAATGTCTTTCATTAATTATATTGAAAAACAGACTAAAAAAATAAGAAGAAAGAGAAATAAATAATAAAAAATATATTTAAAAAAATCATTAATATTATATTAAAATTCTAAAGTGAGTTATGATTTAAGACAAATATGTTTTTTTTAAAGTGACTTATAATTTGAAACATGAGTGATATAATATCTTTTATAATACATAGAATATATTATTATTTTATTATATATTTATTACAAAAATAGACATTGATCCAAATTTTATGTCGGCGTAGGACACTAGGAGGTCACCAAGAAATTCTTCAAAGACGAGATTACTGCTGGTGGTGGTTATAACAGCATTAACTTTCCAAGTACTCTAGAATGAAGTGGCATTAATCAAGTGGGAAAAGTAGGTTTTGCTATAAGAAAATTATTCTTTTGGCATATAAATTAGAATTTGGCAAGAGTGGACCACATTGATAGGTTGTTCCTAGTTGACTAGCGCTTGAAATTTCAAAGACGAATCATCGATTCATAGCTTAAAATTACTCCGTACTCCATAAGGGAAACTAATAGTAGTTGGTTGGAATCTTTGGAATTAAATTAAATAATTGAAGAAAAAAGCATCACCACAAATGGTTTGTTTTATCAAGAAAATATTAAATGTGAATGCGAGTTCAGCTGTCAGTTTGTGGGACAACAAATGTCTTTTCACTCATTTGTAATTAGGAATCTTTTGATTTTAAAGAAATCTTAATTAGAGCAGTCTCTTTGGACTTTTAGCTCACACTAAATCACTTTATATCCATTAGTATCAAGCTAAAAACAAATTATCATAATGATACTTCTAGTACAAGATTACTTATTTCTTATTGCATTATATATACCTAGAATATGAATCTCCATTTTCCTTTCACTATTCTTTTAGGCAGAAAAAGTGTTCAAAAATGGCCCTTAAATAAAGAATCAAGGTCCAAAAATACATTGTAAATGTCTTATATTTTAATGTCATGCAATAATTTCTGAGCTAATCAAACCGCTCCTAATTTTGAATTACATTTGGAGAAGATGATGAGGTTGGAGCATTCAAGCTTCCCATTCTGGAGTTAAAAGTGTTTTTAACATTCTGTTCCAACAAAAGGTCTTGTTACAAGACTGACTTACCAATGTTGCTAAAAGGTTTGGAGTTTCTTGCCTTCAGGGAATCTAAAGTATCCACGGCGTTCTGCACACGTCGCACCTGTATGAAGGAGAATAAACTGTTTTTCAGGCCTTCAAAGATAATATGAATGATGCAATTGTAGATTATGATTACGAAAATAGGAAGTCCATTTACACCAAGTTAAGGAAAATGAGAAAATTTGTTGTGTGAAAGTTTTGAATATTTATAAAGAAACTAATTCTAACGGTGACAAATGCATTTCAATTTTCAACTCTCAACACAAATCAATTTTGTAACCACTAAGAAGACATATGGCGTGGTGATATTGGTACTGTAATGGGATCTAGTTTAAGGAATAAAACAATGGTGGGAAGGGTAAGACCAAAAAACTTCATAACACATGTAGAGGGCAGCTTAATGGCAATAACTCACAAATGGATTTTGCACAGAACAATTCAAATTTCCAAATGAAAATGGAAAATTGCAGTACCCTATAGTGATAACAAATATGCTTGAAGGAAAAGCAAAGAAGATTGAACCAACATCCACTATATCTTTATGAACGTCCAAATTTTGGTAAACAAACTTAATCAAAAAGGTTGAAACTTGAAAACAGGAATGCAACAAGACCCAACACTCATTTGTAAAACAAACCGTTAACAATATTTTATTCCAAATCTAATTCAAATGCTTTTATTCTTGATGACAAAAGTCTCATTACTTGACCAGCAATAACCCTAGGTATTTTCAAACTAAGAGTTTTATAGTGCTTATTTCAAAACTGCTAGCTAATGAATTTTCTTCGGAGAGGTTAGAAAATATTGAAGCCATATTGCATCAAAGAAAACTCCTTTAAGAAAGGAATCTCAAAGAACAACATTTCTCGGTGTATACTAGAGTGTTGTCGATGGGGGATGGTGGTCCATGGCGGAGAACTAAAATCCTGCCATACTGGCCGTTTTGCGGCACCATTATAGCAGATTTTGGCGGAAAAACCCGCAATATTGGCCGATATTTACCATTGTGGCGAGCCCAAAAACCACCACTGCAAAAATCATAGCAAATAATCTAAGTGCTGCTTTAAAATTTATACAGCAAAAGTGAGAGAAAGAGAAATCATTTTCCATGACCTACCACAAACATTAATGGCCAAATCATTAAACTTCGAGTCAGTAACTCTTAACACCAAAAACATTACCTCCGCTTTTCTCTGCAGCTTCGCTTCACCTTCAGCCTTAATACCATCCAGCTTCAGCAATTGCCTCATGAGCATCTCGGTGGACACAAGAAACTCTTTGTCAGATACCTTGGTCCCGCCATCCACAGCCACCCCCAATGCCGACACCTGCAAAATCAGTAATATATTCATTCTCTTTTTCCGGTTATCATGTTTCTATAATGAACAATAATATAGGAAACATGGGCTCACCCTCTCACAAAGCTTGTCCACCTCTGATCTGACAGCAGCAACAGCCTCAAAAGCTTTTAACATTTCATTGTGTTTTCTAACTTCTTCAAGATAACTCTCTTTGCTAGCAGCATCCTCCAAAAGCAAAAGCTTTGACTTGTCCTTCACACCTTCCATGTGCAAATATTTTTCATTCTCCTTTTCTTTTCCTTCAAATAAGAGTCTTTGCAGTTCAGGCTTTAAACCAGTTTTGTGTGCAAGCATTTTCTTAACATCCCCTGATATTAAAGACTAAATTAAGACAGAGAGAGACACATACCAATGGAGCAAAGATCTTCTAAAGTATATGCTACTTATAATCTATAAGATAAAAAATGAGCAAAGTTTCCCCAAACATATTCCATATCCAGATACAATCGATTCAAGCAAAACTTAAAGCAGTTATTCTCACAGTATAAAAATAAATCATATAATTTGCTTAAGGTTCCAAGCTTGCAAATTAATCAACATAGTTCTTTTACTTTCTCAGATAGCTAGCTTGTTTCATACTAAGGATATCAATTGTGTGTATATAGCACATTAAACTAATAAATAAATAAAGATAAATGTTAATTCTCAATGCAAATTAAATGGACGGGCCACTCTTAGTAACATAATAATACATACAGTTTACCATCGAAATTCAAAATTCTGCAAAGATAATATCATATTATCTCTTTCTAAATATTTGTTTGGGAAGAATGAAAGATAGATGAATGGCATCACATTATATGCAGTCACTAATATGTATTAGCTAAAATCAAACTAAAGGACTTAGCTCACTCAGGCAAAAAGTTTAAAACTTCAAAACTTACAAGTTCCACTTCCACTTTAGAAAAGCAGTTTATCGATATATCTAACCATTTAGGATTCCATAATCAATTTGCAGCAAAGTCCACCATTTTCAACAGAATCCAGTATTATTGTGCTATAAGGCACACGCAATCACAAATAATAACACCATCCTCAAAACACCAATTCAACAACCAAAATCCAAAACCTCCTATCCATTGAATCTCTCCACCATCGTCAACTTACATAAGATGAACCAAGTACACCATGTATTCGCCAAAACAACATCAATCCAATTTCAACAAACATCAGAGTAAATAATAGTCAAATTCATTCAGAAATACTGTCTTGTTTTGATAAACAATTTAACTAAGCACTTGTAGCATAAACACTTATCATATTCGAGCCTAAATATAACATATTTCATTGACAGATAAAATAAAGTAAAATTGTTTTTATAAAAGTTATAAGTTATTTTTATAGGCTATCCTGGAGAGCTTAAAAAAATAAACCGAAAACAACTCATGAATGTGTCATAAGATTTAGCCTATGCAAGCTCTCTTTTTTTGATACAACGGAAGCAGCAATATTTGTAACCTATGACACACAGACACCGGAAATACAACACCGACACTAACACGTTGACACCTGTAATAACTTGAAAAAATGAATGAACTAAACGTAATCATAAGTATCGATGTCAGTTTCAGACACCAACACTGACACACCTTTTTTTCCAGAGGTGTCAGTGCTGCCTAGTTTGTAACTAAACCTTTATGCAATATCCAAGCTCCTCGTCATTAGATTTAGCCTATCAAAGTGGCTAAGTAAAATTTACACTACACAACACAATGTACTAGTATCTTTTTCTATCGAATCATTCTTCATTCCACGAATTCTAAGAACTAATCCAACAACAAAAAACAATTACGCATGAATATAACTAAGCCTCTCCATTAGCTCAATTTCAAAATCATCTTACAACAATCACCAAATTCAACATCAATAATAACCAAAACTAAACGAAAACTCAGCATTTAAAAAATTCACCACAAAACCAGCATATAGAACAGTAGTATGAAAAGATTAAAGAATCTCACAGAAAGTAGATTGAGCTGGAAGAAAAACTTCATGGTGAGAAGAACCATGAGCTACACTGATGTTGATCATCGGTCCATCGACGTAATCATCGTCACCTGCTTCGCGTCTCTGTACAAGCATACCGCCGGGACGCATCTCCCACTCGACGTCGTCCTTCGTCGGCGAGACTCCGGCAGAATGCGCCGCGCTATTCATCGGAAGTGGCAGTGATTTCAAAACGCACCGATTTGGTGCGTTTTGATGAACGGTGAAAGAGAAGAGGAGAATCACACAATGGTTGCTCCTCTCATAATCCCCACCTTTTGCCTCTTCTTTTTCATTTCACATCCTCTTTATTTCACTTTTTCATTATTATTTTTTTATGATTTTTTTTCATTCTAGAAAAAAATAAAAAACAAACTTTATTGTTGTTTTTGTTTGACTGGTTTTTTTTTTAAGTTATACAAAAAAAACAAGAGTAATTATTAGAAATTCATGCATAAGGCCACCGTCAAAAATATATATTCAATTTAATAATAATTTTTTGAATAAAAAAAGTTACTCTCAAAAGACTAAAGAAATAAAATAAAATAAATAAATAAAACTTAGAAAACTTTTGACGGAGTGAGCGAATTTTATGAGTTAGTAAGATAGTATAAGAGATAAAAATTGAATTTTTTTATAAAATAATTATATTTTTTAAATGATTTTCTAAAATAATTATAATTTAAAAAAACGAAACTAACATGTTTTATACAAAAATAATTAGTTGAAAAGAGGAATAGCCACTATGAATGACGCATACATGCATTTGTTGTACATAGGCGTTATGTATGCTAGTGCATATTTAGAGTACATGTCACTGCATGTGGTGCAAGCATGCATTTTCTAGGAGTGTGTGTCACGGGTAATGAGTACCGCATTGTTTTGGTTTTTTTAAATGCATCTCATCCTCATCATTTTCACAACTATTTTAAGTATCTCCTTCAATTTTTCTTCAAAATGTTGTCATATATGTCGTTTTATATTAAGAGAAATGTCGATTTGATTTATTCGGCAATAAAACCCCCGATGAAGATCTGACTTTGAAACACTGAGGCATTCAAGCATCTTTAGAGGAGATTGATCTGTTGGTTAGATGGAGACATTGCAGACAGTGAAAAGATCAGAAGAATTCAAGGCTTGTTACGATGTGCAACGACAATGGAGAAAGTCGTTTCTGAGACTCAATTAAAATTAACAGAGATTGTCGTTGTACGCGGTGAAAATCAGAGATCAAGCTATTACATTAACTTGACTTGCAAAACATAAGATGTCACCACCGAACTTTAATTTATCCAAGGGACGGGGAAAAGATCAAATAAATCCTAATTAAATATGCAAGACTAAAGACGAGGTTAAAGAGTATGCAAATAAGAGATCAAAGGTACGGAGGTTGGTTATACTAAGGGAAGATATTAGCATCCTAAGCATCTGTAGTAGTCTACATGAACCTCTTAAAATATCTATGTTTTTGCTAAAGTTGTTTGCTATTTATTAGGAATGTTTATTGTTTTTCTAATTATGAGAGTTTGAAATGTTTTTTATTGTTTTTGTAATGTGTCTAAATAAAAGCGGTAGAAAATAAAAGGATAGCTCGCTAGGATCTTGCAATCAGGAAGAGTAGCTCGCTAGGATCTTGCAATCAGGAAGAGTAGCTCGCTAGGATCTTGCAAAGGGGTAGAAAATAAAAGGGTAGCTCGCTAGAAAATACGCCTACATATCTTTAATAAGAAGTCAGAGCAATTGGAATTCGGAGAACTACGGGTAAGAAATAGTGGAAAAAGGAAGAGTGTGAAAAAGAAAAGGAGTGCTCGCAAAGGATTGGGACCTTGTGCCTACGTATTCTCAAAAGGAACTTGAGAAATCAGAGCGTTCGTAATTCGTGAAACTACGAATTATTAGGGTTCTAAGAACCAAAACAACAAATGGGAAAGGTCTCGATCGCACGAGGCAAGAGAAAAGATTTGATACAAAGAAAAGTACCTGACTAAAAAGTCAACATGCATTTCCTACCTTTAGAAATAGGATCACAAGTATCAGGCGATAATAAAATCACACAGATACATATACACATATGGCAAAGCATCACGTGATAAAGAATTAAAATCAGAGACACATACATGTGGCAAAGTATCACATGAAAGTGAAAACATACACGAAAAAACATCGTGGAATAAATGAACATACACGGAAAAACATCGTGTGATAAATGAACATACACGGCAAAACATCGTGTGGATAATGAACAAAGTGATAAAGCATTAAGAAGAAATATCATCACAATTCAAATTCATCAAAGAAAAAAAACATCAAGATCAATCCAAATAATCATAAGCACGACATCACAAAGACCAAATTTCAACAAGAGATTCTAACAAGTCAAAATAAAATAATAAATTCATGCATATTATTTTTTTAAACATTTTTTATATGGCCATGAATTTAACAAACTAATTGACAATTTAAAATAATGAAGAATAGTTTTTTTAGTTATTTAAGAATATTTAGTAATTAAACAAAATTAACTAAACTAAAATTAAACAAATTATTAAAATTAAAATTGAATTAGACACAAGATAAATAAAATAAAATGAATAAAAGTTAAATGGTAAGCATGTAACAAGAGTCCACTATTTCATCTAAATTCATTCAAAATATAATTATTAACATCATCATCATCATCATCATCATAATAATAATAATAATAATGATAATAATAATAATAATAATAATAATAATAATAAATAAATGATAAGAATAAAAAAAGTTGTTGTTGTGACACTACTTCTCATTTTATTGCAAAACTTACAAATGAGATATAAATATACAATTTTGAAACTTAAAAATTAAGCTAAGTTAAAAAATGATAAAAATAAAATAAAATAAATATTATATAAAAAAAGAAATGATAATAAAATAAAGCTATTAAAAACAAAAATTAACATTTGATTAATAAAAATAATATTAACTAAAGTTAAAATTGAAATCGGTTAAAAACGATAAAACAATTCGGTATCAAATTGTTCAAAAAAATAAAATGAATACACTAAAATGATCAGTGTGAAATAAACGATTATGAAAAATACAACATTTGATCAAATTTTGAAATAAATTTTACCCGGTTAAAAGACTCAGACGTATCAAAAATGTGCCTGAAAAGCAGTTGAAAAATTAAAATGAGCACACTAGGTTAAACTATAGGAAACGTAGATTAGTATAACTGATGTCTGCAAGTTCAATTTTAAAACTGTTTGTACCCTGATTTTATGCACAGTTGACCTTTAGTTTGACCAAAACGACTGTAAATCCGACAAATTTATTCTGGTTTATAATTTGAGCATTGTGCATGATAAAAGACATGATATGCTATGCAGACGATGCAAAGTGAAAATACAGTAAGATGAATGAAAAAAATAAAAAATGTTTTGATCCAAATTTGGGGTAATGCCCCTATTTAATCTTCTTGGACCTGAAGGTATGAATAGCAAAGACTTCAAGGTAGAAGAGGATAAAATATCAAATACCCATAATTTTGGTCGTTAATGTAGATGAAGTGATATGATATGTAATGTTATGAATGACTCTGAACTCTGTGGGGAATGATATCACAGGAGATAGACCAACAAGACAAAATTTCACTGAGAAAAAACTTTAAAATTTCTAGGGAATAAGTAACAATTGAGGATATACAAGATATAATGGAAATCTGTCAGGGTGACAAGGAGTATCTGGTAATACTTGGAAAGAGTGATAAAGATATCCAATAGTGGCATTAGATGTAACAATATGAATATCCAAGAAAGCATTGGATGTAAAGGAAACAATAATATCCAAGACAACATTGGATGTAATGATACAAATATCCAAGAAAGTATTGGATGTAAAGGAAACACAATATCCAAGACAACATTGGATGTAACAATATGAATATCCAAGAAAGCCTTGGACGTAAAGAAAACACAATATCCAAGACAAGATTGGATGTAACAATATGAATATCCAAGAAAGTATTATATGTAAAGGAAACACAATATCCAAGACAACATTGGATGGTGCCAAGTAAGGTTATACTTTGGACACAAGGTAATATGTTGATGGTAACATGACCTATGAAAATTAAAATGAGGATAAAAAAAACTCTTGTTATGCATGGTATATGAATTTGTTGTGTTGTATGTAATGAAATGCTGATAACAAGGCTTGAGTCTTTTGGGGAGTGGACAAGATTGGAAGACGAATTCCTCAACACAGAGATCATTGTTATTGCTTTGGGGGACTAAAGATGTTATTGTTGAACATATCTTTGCCATATTGGTAAATTGCATTAAGTTGATAATCATTGTAGGAAGGATGGATAGCGGCTTGGGGATTCTTCAAGTAAAATTCCCCAAACTAACTGATTGTTGTAGATGAATAAATCATTGTTGATTGTTGTAGATGAACAAATCATTGTTTCATCTTTATTGATTATGGAAACGACTGTTTTACTGTGTGCTTGGAAGGCTTTCCATAGTAATAAGTCTTTAAAAATCTTCTGGATAAACCAATTCTGGGAAGGACTTGCACTGAACAATAAATTTTAAACTGATTTTAAACATGACCTGGAAGGAGCTTGCCTCTGATAGGATCACTGACCAAGTTCCTATACTGTTTTGAAAATTTCTTGAGAGGAAAGCTAATTTGAAATCAAAAGTGTCTATTCAAACATGGTAGTTTTAATGCAAAGTTCATGCAACCTTTTGAAAACAAAATCATTGTTAGAAAATGCAAAGCAATATGAATTATCGGTCAAAACACAGTGGTTTATAACATTCAGCATGAAAAGTAAAACAAAGGTATGATACCAAAACAAATGATTTGCAAAAATATGTTTGGAGTTAGTTTACGCAACCTTATTGTAGTATACTTTCAAAATAACCTTGCTTCAGTTAAGTCTTCTGAGGGTTGTAATATGGTATGGTTCACGATTTATGAAACAAAGGATAAAGGCTCAAAGATTTATTTATACCCACTCAATCTTCGTGATGATCTTCAGTCCTACACTCAGTTAAACTCAGACTATGCACTTAGGTTCCAAAAAGGTTTGGAATTGTACTGACGATAGTGATGGTGATGGTTCGAAAGTCAATGGACTCTTTAGATGGCAGTCAATGCTTCTTTACAAAATTTAGTTA